CCACTTGAGCCACAGCGCCTCTTTCGGCTTTTTCTGCTTATGTGGTGCTGAGGAATTGAACCCAGGGCCTCATGCATGGAAGGCAAGTGCTCTACCACTGAGCCACCTTCCCAGACCCTGTCTCTCTGTTTTCTTACCCAGAGTAGGCAAAGATGCACAACACTTATACGCTGAAGCCCGCAGTTTAAGACTTAATGGGTCACAATAGCAGCACATTCAGCCAATCAGGAATTAAGATGAATGAAACCAATCTTATAAGTAGACTCTAAACTAGAAAAATAGAACAGGTCTGTAGAAAGATTTTTACCCCTTAACTTTCTTCCTTCCCTCCCTGTCTCCCTCCTTCCCTTTTTTTCTTTCCCAGGCCTGGGGCTTGAATTCAAGGCCTGGGCATTGTCCCTGAGCTTCTTTTGCTCAAGGCTAGTTAGTGTTCTACCACTTGAGCCACTTAGAGCCTTTTCTGTTTATGTGTCCAGAGGAAGCAAGCACTCTACCACTAAGCCACACCTCTAGCCTCCCCCTAACGTTCAAAACCATGCACATAATTTTTTTTTTTTATACAGTAAGAGCATTAGAATCACTCTTATGTTTAGTCTAAATAATTACCTGGCACTACAAAATTCACAGCCAGGCATAGGTGGCTCACAGCTGTAATCCTAACTATTCATGAGGCTGAGATCTGAAGTTGATGGTTTGAAGCCAAAGCCAGGTCAGGAAAATCTTTGTGACTCCAACTCCAATTAACCACACAATAAAAGACAGACATGGAGCTGTGGCTCAAGTGGTAGAACATGAACCTTGAGCAAAAAAACTTGGGGGGCTGGGATGTAGCTCAGTGGCAGAGCGCTTGCCTAGCAAGTGCAATGCCCTGGGTTCGATCCCCAGTACCAAAAAAGAAAAGATAAAAAAAAATACAGTTAAAAAAACAAACAAACTTGGGGACAGCATCTAAAATCTGAGTTCAAGCCCCAGGAATGGCAAAAAAAAAAAAAAAAAAATCAAAACAAAAACCAGTCAAGATGGAGAAGGTACAATTTGGGAGAAAGCCAACTTCAATGGTTCTAAACAATCATCTGATGACCTTTGTAAGGGCCTTCCTTAGTCTTTAATCGAAATACCAAGTGAGTCAGTTGCTGTGAGGTTTAACTTGGCAGAAAAGTCTGTCTAAAAAGAACTATTGGTGCTTCAATTCCCCCCTACTGGGAGACTGAGGCCCCAGGACCAGAGGGACCCAGGAATTCAAGGTACCCTGCGGCAACAAACTAGTTCCAAACCTTAGAGTTCTCTCCCTTCCATCCCTAAACAAAACCAAACCTTCAAACTATATAGAAATGTTCCAAAAGAGGAAAAGAAGACGTCTTCTTTTAACCTTGGAACTTGCTGAAAGTTTTAGTGGATTGTTCTAGTCGGGAGATTCTGGATATGTTTATGATACATGACAACGTAGGAGCTGACTCCAAGAAATGTTCAGTAGAAAGAAAAGGGAGACTTCTGTTACAAACGACAAGACCCTGCTCTTCCTCCATTCTTACATTCTTTTCCTATAACTACCCTTTGTGACCCTTAGTCCTCCAAGATGGAGTTTGGGGTTGAGCCCTTCCATCTTCTCAAGATTGCTAACCTCAATTGGGATTGGATAAATGAGAGAAAATGATGACTGTGTGACACTGATCAAAATGTATTGTACTTACATAAACAGATCTGTTGAATGGTAATTCTTTGTACAACTACTTAAAGATAATAATAAAAAAATAACCCCTGAATAAACCTAAATCCTTTCTACCAAGTCTCTTGTGCTGAACATTGACCTTGGTCCAGTGGGCAGCTTGGACCTTTAATTCCTGTAAACAAGCTTGCCTTCTGCAGTGCCTACTCTCCAAGCTCTTGTGATTTTCCAAAAGTGGCTTTTTACCTCAATAAAGTAGTAAATAGTTTGGAAACCACAACATTGCCTTTTATCTTCTTGGTACTCTGTGTGTGTGCGTGCTAGTACACACACATTCAGTGTGCACTCCATACTGGGGCTTGAACTCAAGGCGCAAGCTTTATTTATTTTTTATTTATTTTTTGGGTCCAGTCATGGGGCCTGAACTCTGGGCCTGGGCGCTGTCCCTCAGCTCTTCAGCTCAAGGTGAGCACTCTACCACTTGAGCCACAGTGCCACTTCCAGCTTGTTTCTTTTTGCTTATGTGGTGCTGAGGAATCGAACCAGGGCCTCAGGCATGCAAGGCAAGCGCTCTACCACTGAGCCACCTTCCCAGCCCAAGGCTCAAGCTTTATTCCTTAGCTTTTTCTGTTCAAGGCTGGAGCTCTACCACTTGAGCCACAGCTCCACTTTTAGCATTTTTGTAGTTAATTGGAGATAGGAGTCACACATACTTTCCTGCCTAGGCTGCTTTAGAATCAGGATCCTCAGATCTCAGCTGCCTGAGTAGATAGGATTAGAGGCATGAGCCACTGACTCCCAGCTTAGTACACTCTTCTCAGGGCCAAGGGAACAAATGCTCACCGCAGCTTGAAAACACAGAAGCAACAAACTTGAATCCTTTGCCCTTCAAATTTCCCTGCCTGGGGTCATAACCCACTTTGAAGGGGCCTTGAAACGGCAGGCCTCCACCTCAGGCAATATGTCATCTGGGGGCTCCAAGCAGGTAAATAATGAAAAATAATGTTTGGTGGCTGTCACAAGCCATTCTCCATTCAGACAGTGATGGTTTTCAGGGAGAATTAAAAGGAGGTCGGCTACTTCCGGCTGAAAGCATCCTGGAAAGAGCCTATTTCTTGAACTCTGAGGATGACTTGAGGGGAGGTGATGAGGAGATTGAGCAAACAAAGCTCAGGGACAGTGCCCAGGCCCTTAGTTCAAGCCCCAGGACTGGCCCCAAAACCCATAAGCAAAACCCTGAAACATCACCATGTAAGAAGTTTGATCACAGAACCACGCTGCTGAGAATCTTACCTTGTTTTAACGGGAACATGACAAACAACGACAACAAAAACAAGGTATGCAAAACCAACTCAGGAAGAGCTGAGAGAGGTATCAGCGGTCGTCCAGGAAGGAAACAAGAAATTAACTGTCCTGATGCGATCTGATAAGATGCTGCCATTTCGCAGCTTCGGCCTGGGCTCAAGTTGGGAGAGGACATTTCTTTTGGCCCTGCCGGATCACATCACTATTTAGATCTACAAACTTTCCAATGATCTTTTACCTGTCAGTCTATACTGGAAGCCTAAAGGACATAGATCAGGGGGGGAGGGGGAGAACATGGGGAAAATTAACTGCAATAAACGGGACAGGGCAGGGGAAAAGTACAACCCCCCTCAAGGCATTTCTGACTAGGGCTGGACCAGAGCTAGCAGGCATGCGCAGAATCCAATCGTAACCGCAATTAGACCCAGAGTACAGGCGGGAACACTTGCTGCGCCAGGGGTCCCGGGTAAACAAGTGGCCGGGGCTTGAAAACCGGATTCACCCAGCGGTGCACAGTTTTCAAACTGAAAATGCAGATGCTCCCCGGTCTTACACACCACCCTCCCGGGGTCGCCATCGACGACCAGGAAAACAAGCTCTCAACCGTTCCAACAGCAGTTAGCAAGCGCTCAGCTCCGTGGTGGTGGTGGTGAAGTTTGAAACCAAAACCAACTTTCTTTCTCCCCGGAGCTAACACCCCCTCCCCCCTCCACCCCTGTCCCGCCCTGCGCCCGCCCCGGTGAACACGCCTGCGGGGCGTGTGTGTGTGTGTGTGTGTGTGTGAGTGTGTAAAACAGTCTTGAAAAAAACGATGGAAACATCACAGAAAAGAAGAGCCATCGATCTTAATCCTACTCTCCCCCTACTTCCCCCAAACAAACCCTGCAAACAAACTAGTATTCGAACTTTTCCCTGTACACTGCGGTGACAGTTTTTGTTGTTTTTAAGATAACCGTTTTTTAGCGATCAGCACGAAAAAACCCATATATAATCCATAGTATATATAGTATATTATATATAGTATATTATATATAGTATATTATGTATATAGATGGTCCTTTCCCTCTTTGGCCAGACCAGATCCCCAAGTATCCGGGGAGAAGAAAGCATTCTTCATTTTAAAAGGAAAAAAAAAACCCCACAAAAGTGAGGAGGGACAGCCCGGCCCAGGACTGCGAAGCCTCTCGTGGTTATTTTGGGGGGAAAATGAACAACAAAGAAAAGGATTAGCACGGACGGGTACTTTTCAAAAAATATTTTCTTTTCCCTCTGGCTCCCGCTAGGGTGGAGGAAGTTGTCTCCCGCGCCGGGAGAGGGTGGAACCGAGTGGAAGGACGAATACGGGGAGGTCCCCCGCCCCCCACCCTGAGTTCACCCATGGGGGGGTGGGGACCGAGGGGCGGGGACGACCAGCAGGTGCCTGGGCTCCGGGCTCTCCCCCCCCCCCACCCCGCCATCCGCACCCTCCCCCCCCCGCACCCACACCCCGAGCCCGGCCTCGCCCCCTGGCGGGCGCGCGCTCCGTGCAGAGCGCCGGGGTGCGGGGCGCCCACCCCGCAGGCAGCGCACAGGCCGTGGGGGCGGCAGGGGAGGGGGGGGTGTGCTCCCGGGGCGGCACGCCCCGCCAGGCTGCCGCCGGGACCCCGAATCCGCCACCCCCGAGGAGCATGTCCGCGGCCGGGGCGCGGAGCGGAGCCCCGGGGAGCCGGGCCCGGGGAGGGCGTGTGCGGCGGCCGCGGAGCCGCTAGTCCCCTCCCTCCTCGGGGAGCAGCTGCGGCCGCCGCCGCCGCCACCGTCAGCGCGCGGGCCGGGCCGGGCCGGAGCGGAGCCGGGCGCGCGGGGCGGGCGCGGGGCGGCGCGGGGCGGGCGGGGCGGGCGCGCGGGGCGGGGGGTGGGCGCGGCGCGGCGCGGGAGGGCGTGGGGGGAGGGTCTCGCCCTCCCGATCACCGGGCGCCCGCAGGGAGACCCTGGCGGCGGCCGCCGCGGCGGCGCCTGACACTCGGCGCCTCCCGCCGTGCTCCGGGGCGGCATGTCCGAGGCTGGCGGGGCCGGGCCGGGAGGCTGCGGGGCAGGGATCGGGCCCGCGGCGCTGCCCCCTCCGCCCGCCGCGCTGCCCCCCGCGCCCCCGCAGGGCTCCCCGTGTGCCGCCGCCGCCGCCGCCGGGGGCTCGGGCGCCTGCGGTCCGGCCACCGCCGTGGCTGCGGCGGGCACGGCCGAGGGGCCGGGAGGTGGCGGCTCGGCCCGGATCGCCGTGAAGAAGGCTCAACTGCGCTCGGCGCCGCGGGCCAAGAAACTGGAGAAACTCGGAGTGTACTCTGCCTGCAAGGTGGGTCCGCGCCCGGCCCCGCCGCCGGGGGGCCGGGGCTCCGCTACCCCCCCGTCCCCTCCCTCCCTCCCCCCTCTCTTACCCCCCTTCTCCTCGCGCCCCCTCCCTCCCTCCCTCCCCACCCCCCGCCTCCGCCGCGCGCCTCCCGCCTGGGGCCGCTGCACCGCGGAAGTGCTGCCGTCGCCCGCGCGCAATTAGCTCCCTCGCGGAGAGGAGTCCTGTCCGGGTGGGAGAAGGGAAGGGGGGTCGCGAGGACGCGGGGGCAGGGGGGGGGGCGTCCCTGACCTTCCCCTTTTGCAAAGGATCGCCTCGGGCGTCCCAGCTCCGGGGCTACCCCCTGGGGCTTTGTGGCTCTGTAGGAGCTCTCCGGTGCCACTTTCTCGCCCAGCGGAACTGTACCGAGCGGGCGCATCTACCCGGGGCTGCGAGGAGGAGGAGGAGGAGGGAGGGGCACGTGTTTTTTGGTGGGGAGAGAGTGTGTGTGTGTATGGTGGGGGCTCCGCGGTTTTCTCTGCTCTCGATCGGTTCTCGTGGCCCCACCGGGTGGAGCTGGGTTCAAGAAGTGAGGGCGGCGAATCATCCTCCTAGACTTGTGGCACTTTGGCCGGGCGCCGGGGAGGAGCGGGGCGGGGCGGGGCGGGGCGGGGCGGGGGTCCCGCGGTGCCCGGCGCCCCCTGCGCGCGGCCGCGGCTGGGACCCGGGGTTGGTGGGACTCGTGTAGTTACAGCGTCGTCCCGGCAGCTCGGAGGTCCCCCCCCCCCCCCGGGGAGGTGGCGAGGTGGTGACCGCCCTGCGCGGGGGAGCTGGGGCGGAGGACCGGGTTCTGGCCCTCCCTCCTCGGCCCGTGCCAGCCCCCGCCCTCCCCCAGCTGCGGATCCAGAGGTGGGAGCTGCGCTCCCGACCCGGGAGGTTTGCCCGAGGCCGCGGGGCAGACTGGCCTTGCGCTGTCAGCAGAGGCTTTGTTTTGACAGGGTGACAGCTGAGGGGGGCGGGGACTTGGCCCTGTCAGCTCCTGCGGCCTGTGGCTGAGCCCAGGGAGACACACGCGCGCACACGCGGGCGCGCGCGCGCGCGCACACACACACACACACACACACACACACACACACACACACACACACACACACACACACACACACACACACACACACACCCCTCCCGTGGGTGCCTTCTGCCTGCCACCAACCGGGTCAAGTCCCCAGGTTCCAGATTGCCACCCGGGGCTGGCCCTGTGGGGACATCTCTCCTGGCTTTCGTACTTCCTGGAGCTTTTCCTGGGCACGCAAAGTCGCTGCCTTCTCTTCCCTCCCTCTCCCCCCCCCCACTCCCCTCCCTTTTGTAGTTTAAGCAAGCACCTACTGTGTGCTCTATGCTTGTGTATAAATACTATTGGAAGGGGTCCATCTTAGTTTTGGCCTTCCTTAACTTCTTACTCCAGGGAAACCTGGTGGGGGGTGGGTGGGGCGGGTTGCTGCTTGAACTGATTTCCCCTCCCTTCCCCCCCCCCCCCCCCACCAGGTCTGGAGTGAAGCTAAAATGTGCATTGTCGCAGGAACTTGACAGTTCCTTGCAGGTTTGGTTCTCTTAGATACCTCAGTTGTAAGGCCCTAGTTAAGAGCTGAACTTTAGATCACTTGTCCCTTTTGATTGTAATTTGTGTGTATGTGTGCACGTGTGTGCCAGTGTTGCACCTTGAACTCAAGGCCTGGGAACTGTCTTTGGAGGTTTCTTGTTTGTTTGTTTTTGCAGGTTGTGGGCCTTGAACTCTGGGCCTGGGCACTGTCCCTCAGCTCTTAAGCTCAAGGCTAGAGTTCTACCATTTTAGCCACAGCGCTGCTTCCAGTTTTCTGGTGGTTTATTGGAGAAAAGAATCTCATGGACTTTCTTGCCCCAGTTGGCTTTGAAATGCAATTCTCAGATCTCAGCCTCCTGGAGTAGCTAGGATTACAGGCATGAGCCAGTCTTTGAGTTTTTATTTTTATTATTTTTTTTAACCTGCATCAATCAGCTTTTGGGTGGTTAATTGGAGCCAAGAGTCTCACAGACTTTCCTGCCCCAGCTGCCTTTGAATCACAATCCTCAGATCTCAGCCATCTGAGTAGCTAGGATTATAAAGGTGAGTCACCAGTGCCTGGCTACTTGTCCCATTTGAATTCAGCCAAGAAAAAAGGACTTGTAGAATAATACTACTGTAATGCTTGGTATTCCGAAGACTGACAAGTGGAGATTATCTTTCTAAGAAAATCTGAGGCCTAGTGATTGGTAAGAGGGCCTACACTAAAAATTGAGAGCGAGTTCACTTACTTGGTAGACCTGGTGTTTTGCCGCCACAGCTCCAGTGTGGAAACTGCTAACGCACAGACCTGAGTTCTGGCTTTGTTTTGTAGTTTGTTTATTGGGCGCATCTACCACATACCTCTTCTTTCAGTTGCCTGTGCGTGGTTGTCTTTGTACCTAAAAAGTTTGCAGAAGTTTTGGTTCTGTCTAAAGCCACGTGTATGTATATCCTGCCCTTAAATCAATCAGTCTATCTATCTATCTATCTATCTATCTATCTATCTATCTATCTATCTAGTCTCTATCTATCTATGTATCTATCTACCTACCTACCTAACTACCTACCTACCTACCTACTTACCTACCTATCTTTTTTTAGGTCTGGTCGTGGGCCTGAACTCTGGGCCTGGGTGCTGTTTCTCAGCTCTTCAGCTCAAGGCTAACGCTCTACCACTTGAGCCACAGCACCACTTCTGGCCTTTTCTGCTCATGTGGTGCAGAGGAATCAAACTCTGGGCCTCAAGCATGAAAGACAACCACTCTATCACTGAGCCACCTTCCCAGCCCTCTATCCCCCCCCCCTTCATATATATATATATATATATATTGGCCAGTCCTGGGGGCTTGAACTCAGGGCCTGGGTACTGTTCCTGAGCTTCTTTTGTTCAAGGCTAGCACTACCACTTGAGCCACAGCACCACTCCTGGCTTTTTCTATTTACGCGATACTGACTGAGGAATTGAACCCAGGGCTTCATGCATGCTAGGTAGGCAGTCCACCACATTCCCAGCCCAGATACAGCATCTTAAAATTTTTTTATTGTTATGATAAAGATGATACACAGGTTTCACAGTTACCTAAGTTAGGTAATGATTACTTTTCTTCTTCCTCCTTCCTCCCTTCCCCCTCCTCCCTCCCCCTCCCCTCTCCCCCTCCTCTCCTTCCTTCTCTCCCTCCTTCTCTCCCTCCTCTTCCTCCTCTTCCTCTTTGTCCTCCTCCTCCTGCTCCTCCTTCTTTCTTTTTAGTCTGTTGTGGGCTTGAACTCAGGGCCTGACCATTGTCCCTGAGCTTTTTCACTCAAGGCTAACACTACTACTTTGAGCACCATTTCTGGTTTGCTGGTGGTTAATTGGAGATAAGAGTCTTAACAGCCTTAACGACACAGGCTCACTGTGATCCAAGCCTCCTGAGTAGCTAGGATTACAGATGAGAGCCATTGGAGCCTTACATGAGTTCATTTCTTTTTAGATAATGTTACCCCTTCCCTTGCTCTCTCCCAGTTTTTCCCCCCCATCCCCACTACAAATTGTATTGTTTTCAACATAGTGAGTACCACTGCTGCATTTGTTCACCCTTTAACTCTCCATTTCTGTGCCCCCTTACCCTTCCAAAGACAGAGAAATAAGACAAAAAGAAAAAAACAAAACAAAACATCAATGAAGAAAAAAAAAACTTCTTGTTTCCATTTTCTGGAGTTCATTTCACTAAGCATTACTTTATATGATCAGAGTCACACAGAGATTGTGCCTTTGTGTTCCTCTCCTAAGAGTATCCTTTGGTCTCCCTGTGTGTGAATACCTAGAGTTCTGTATAATGTGTCTTGTCCCTGTGTATTTTAGATCTAGCTTCCACATATGAGAGAAAACATGCCCACTTTGTCTCTGAGCTTGGCTTACTTCATTTAAAGTATAATGGTTTCTAAAGTTTGCAACTTGAGTGTTCACTATCTAATTCACAGGAAAAGGTTAGTTAAGGCCTTTTTTCTTCGTAGACTTGTTTATTAGCATTATCAGTTGCTGGGGGTCCCCTGTGTAATATTTTCACACATGTATACACTATATCAGGATCAGCCTGACTCCCTCTATATCATTCTCCCTTAGCCTCCTTCAAACTATTTCCACAGGTTTCAGTGATCTGTCTTCATACATGCAAATAAGCTACTTTGATAATACTCCCCTTCCTCCTCTCTCTGGTAGCTCTCCCTTCTCCTGCTGCCCCCACAGAGCCTGTTTCACTTGGCTACCATCCTTCCTTTCTTCCTTCCTTCCTTCCTCCCTTCCTTCCTTGCTTCCTTCTTTCTTTCCTCCTCCTCCTCCTCCTCCTCCTCCTCCTCCTCCTCCTCCTCCTCCTCCTCCTCCTCCTCCTCCTCTTCTTCTTCTTCTTCTTTGCCAATCCTGGGGCTTGAAATCAGGTCCTGGCACTGTCCCTGAGCTTCTTTCTGCTCAAGGCTAGCATTTATCAATTGAGCCACAGCACCACTTCTGGCTTTTTCTGTGTATGTGGTACTGAGGAATTGAATCCAGGGCTTTATGCATGCAAACACTGTGCCACTAAGCCACATTCCCAGCCCCCATTCATTTTTCTTTCTCTTTTCTTTTCTTTTTTTTCTCCCCATGTGACAGCTCTGGGCCTTGAACGCAGGGATTGGGTGCTGTCCCTTAGGTTTTTGGCTCAAAGCTAGCACTCTACCACTTGAGCCACCCCTCTGACCTTTTGGTAGTTAATTGGAGTCTCTTAGATTTGTCTGTCCAGGCTTGCTTCATACTGTGATCCTCAGATCTCAAACTCCTTAGTAGTTAGGATTCATTACAGGAGCCACTTTCTTCTTTTTCCTTTCTCTTTTCTCCTTCTCCTCCTCTTCTTTTTTTTTCCAGTCCCGGGGCTTGAACTCAGGGCATGGGTGCTATCCCTGAGCTTCTTTTGCTCAAGGCTAATGCTTTACC